AGCATTAAAGCTGTGTTTTGAGTTACTTTCTGTCTCCAGGGGTCCTTATCCTGCCTGCACACAGCTGTCACATAACAGGATAAAACATTGTGTCACTTAAACTGGTTTCTTGTACATGACAGAGTCTCACCACATTATTAAGACTGGGAGCATTGTCACTATGTTTCACTGTCTGACCTCTCACACAGATGTTCAAGAGAGCTCTATCTTCTATATGAAGAAAACAAAAATGCACCATACTAAATGCATATGTACTTATTCCAAATTAGAAACAAGGAATCCAAATAATCTAAGAGGTAGGGCTGGACGATATGGCCTAAAATCCATATTGCGGCATAATTTGAAGCACGTGCAGTAAGGATATATATCGTGATATATTTTCTTCTGTATAACGTATTTTCCACACTATAAGGCACACTTAAAATCGTTTAATTTTCTCAAAAATCGAGAGTGTGCTTTATGTATAAATTCTGGTTGTGCTTATTGACCTCGAATTGATTTTGGCGTGCAGAAATCTGTTAAAAAATGTTTTAGTACAACTTTGGTAAGCCGCACTGCTTGACGGATTGTCAGAGCATTACGGCTGCCGTAGTGAGAAGCTTCGTGGAGTATTCTGGGTCCAAAACTCCGTCCGTTTCAGGTCCCAAAGTCAAACTGAGAGTTTAAAACGGTCTAAATTCTTTCATCTTTAATAAAATGATCAGCGTTGCTGCTTTATCGGGTGTAACAATTAAGTTTTACATCCATGCATCCATGAAAACAGAATTTATTAAATTTAACGGAGTTACAAGTTAACAGGAAGTTAGCTTGCTAGTTTCCACCTAAACATTTCACGCCATGTTCTGACTGAGAGATTTTTGAAACGAATTAAAACGTACAGCTCTGCTACCACTTCCAAAATAATTAAGACAGAAAACTAAACAGCAGTGGTGTTTGCAGGGTTACTGAAGTTGGACTACCTGATATATAATGTTGTGCTACGTGATTGCTAGCAACACAGCTATGTTAGCATAACATTAGTACAGTGAAGCTGGAGGATGAACATCAACTTTTCTTCCACTCATTAAAAGTTAACGTGAGGGATTCTGGTGGTTAGGGACAAATGCAATCGCATAGCAGGATGCTATACACGGGCCAAACTTCAGTCAGGAGAACAACTGAGATTATTCATACACAATACAAGGTTAGTTATTAATGGTAGCCGCTGCTCTTGTGGTGTGTGCGATGCTTTCGACCAAAACAGGCGCAGCTTGATGACATCATCAACATGCACTATCACGATAGAGCGGTATAGTCAAAATCTCTGACGTTGGCCAAATTTATATCGTTTCAATCGCATATTGTTTATATCGCCCACCCCTACTAAGAGGCAGACGTAAACTCCAGTGTGAGAGAAACATGACGAAGGCGATGATGCATCGGTTAGAGGTGAGTATATAAGAGTGCACTCTGTTTGCACTCAGTGTGTTGACCACAGTGTTCGCTGCGCACAAAGACCAAGCTGACCTTTTCAGTAGGTCTCTTGCACAGCACATATCCCTGGGCGAAGAGAGGAAAGAAGTCAAACTGAAAATTCAGTGAAGGCCATCCAAACAAGCACACACATTGCACGGCACTGGAGTGAGGCCTCTTTACCTTGGCCTGTCGCCTTCACTGTCTGCCCTTTCTGGTGAAAATGTCAGCCCATCCTCTCGTTTTTTTTCTGCCTGTCTGCCCAGGTGACACAAGATTCACCGGGCAAAAATTTGGGAAAAACTATATTTGCCTGCTCTGGAAACACATATTTTAAAGTCTCTAGCAAATAGTATTTGGAGTTTGGAGATGATATATAACTTAAATTTCAGCAGTGCCAGGTTTGGTCACTGGTGACGCACACAGAAGGAAGCCTCACTGACTCTGAAGTAAACATAGATGTGCTAAAATACCTTTTTCGACCAGAGGACTGTGGATGATTTTAAACCTGATTTCACACGCAATCTTTTGCCCGTAGCACCAATCAGTAACTTATGTTTGTGCTTTGCCAACCAGATGCATCTGGCATTTTTGAAGCAATCATAGCTGCATTTTTTAATCGATAAAAACATTTTTAAAATTAATTTACTCCCCGAAGAAATGGAAGAAAATGAAAAGGCTTGGAGATAAGAAGCAGAAAAGCTTTGTGAAGGAAGAGACAGACCTCAGTAAGCAGCAGAGAAGGAGAGAGAGGTGAGAGAGAATTACAGTGAATTTTTAAGAGACACTGACAGAGAGAAGATGAAAGCTTGAGAGGAGACGCTGTAGTGGTGCTTGAGATCTGACTGTGAAGAGGTGGGATCCGACTGCTGAGGGCATGTGGAATGTGGACTTTGCGGTTCATTGTTATTGTGTGCCTCTGCATACGTGTGTCCAGGACATGAACCTGTGTAGCTGTGCAAATGAATGGATCAAGAACTAAAAATGGCCAAAGCAAGACTGACAACACTTAAACTGAACCTTCTATATATGCATCTTAGCATCTACATTGCAGCTTGCATTTTTCAGACAACAACCATGCCCAAATAAGTGCTTTATTTTAAGAAATTATTACAGTATTGAAATGTGGTAATTAAGGGCAATAGTTCTTAAAATTGTCACTCCGTGACTTTTTAAAAAAAGGACATTTTCAGTGAATTCATGAAAACTTTAGCTTTTATAATTGCAGAAAAGTCTCTGCAATGAGCTACCAGCTACCAGAACTTGCACGCCTATCATTTAGTTTCACTGGTCCAGCCCACTTAAGATCAAAGTGGCCGATGATGTAAAATGAGTATGACTTCCTTGATGTACCCACTTATCGTCTTACATAAAAGTAAAACAAATTCGATGATTTTCAATTATTTATACAGGTATTTTATTGAAATATTTACGTCAGTTTAGTTTAAAAATGAATTTTAACTGCTAGCTGCCGTGCCAGGGCAATGACTAGAGCAAACAGTGCTTAGACAAGGAGCATAACATGGTGAGATTTTAAACACATTGTGTGCCACTCACTATAGCTTCACATTGCCATTCATTTAACTTGCCACTATATATGATACATGTAGTCATTTCATTGCCCCAGCTATTGCACCCGCTACAAAGCCAATAGGTAAAGATTTCTTTCCATATCTTTCACACCATCTATATTCACCCACCCTTTTGCTCATGGTGTTGCTTTGCCTACAAGAGTAAAAATAGCATCTGTGCTTAGAATTGCCAAAACAGTCTGCCTGCATAAGTCCTGGCACTGTCTCATTAAAATCATCTCATCTCTCATCTGAACACAGAATAAGCCACCTGTTACACAAGCAACCGCTAAAAAGGACAGCAGAGGAACAGGACAAACGCATAAATATGAAAACAACCCTCCAAGTGATTTAAAATCAAACAAATATCACTTATTTACCTAAATCACAGTTTTTTCTTCATGCTCAAGCCTTTGGTTCGAGGTGGATGGGAAGAAATTTGTAGCTAAAATGATCAGAAACTAGCTTTCAGCTTCAAGGTGGATCAAAGATGTAAATATCTCATGACCTGCGGATATGGTAGATATGAACCTATAAAATGAATGCACCTCTCTGCAGCTTAAGCTCAAGACATACCTATCTCACTCACTCAATCACACAATCACACATACACTGCGCAGCACCGTGGCTGCTCTGATTAATCTCTTCTCTGTCGATTCTGTTTAGCGTCAGGGTGTTCGGTGCTATCGCTGGCGACCTGTGGAGACCATCCAATCAATAGAGAGCTGGATATAGCACACAAATCCCACTGATTAATTCTTTCTCGCAAACTGGAACCAATTCAAACCACACCTCTCCTGAACAAAATCATTACAAGCCTGTGGGCGTTGATGTGATGACGTGGAACAGAGTTCAATACAAACAAAGTGCTGCTAACACATGACTACTTTTTTGGGGGGGGGATGAAAGACAAGACAGAGAAGTTCAAATTTAGCTATACTAAATTCAGCCTTGACTTAGGACACATTAAACAAATCGGTATCTGGGGAAATTTGTAACTATAAAGACAATAAAACTGTGGCCTTCTTGCACTAATTTAGAGGAAACACTGGAAGCTTTCATGTGATACCAAGGCAGAACAAAGATTCCATTTTTTCCATGGTGCATAAAGCCCTACGCTGGGACATGACAAAGAGTGCATGCTCTTCTAATCAGGCTAAACATGGATCAGTCTGCCCAAAACTAAGCCACAGTTCACTGATCTAAAGGCAGTGCCATGCTTGTTTTAACAGTGATACAGAATGTAAGCTGTTCCAACAGCACAAGTGCATCATGCTTGTTAACAATCTCTGTGTCTGTGGCAACAAAGACAGCACATACATCTGGAATAAAATCATGGCATGGTTAGATTTTTAGGATGTGTTGATTAATACATGACAATAGTGACCTCATTACTTAAGAACTTGGAATCTGGAGTTAATCTTCCATGTAGGATAGCTTTACCTTCTCCTTGATGTCCGCTTGTGTGGTGTCAGGCCTGGTACGAATAGTAAATGGGGATGCAAGCCTCAGTAGGATGCCTTGAAATGAGGGATCCATCTTAGGTGAGACAATCTCAAAACAGTCCCTGAACGAGAGGCTCCGGTAAGTCTCTATACGAGTCTGTTTCCTCAGTCCTTCCCCAAGCTGCAGTAGCTCCATGTGAGGCCCCAGGACAAGGTGAAACGGAAAGGCACGGCAAAACGTGGCCAGGCCAATGCGCAGATCGCTGGGGTTGGTGGAGATCGAGAGGGGGGGTCGTTTACCGGTCGCCGAGGCGGCGTTGGGGAGGGAAGAGATGCAAAGAGGGCTGGTCTCCTGGATTTGGAAGGAGAGGCAAACTGTCGGAGCAGTGGTCGGGAAAGGAGAGGGAGGGGATGGGGATGAGGAGGGTGAGGCAGTGGGAGACGCGGTCGGGGTCGGGGTCGTCGAGTCACAGTCTGTGTTTTCTGCATCTTTATTGGGCAACAAGGGAGTTAGAGGGGGCACCTCTTCCACCTCCACTTGTGAATGAAAGATACGCCTGGCAACAGCTCTGATCAACCCCGGCATGACCAACCCGACAACAGGGGCAGGGTTGAAGCAATGAAGAACCAATATTTTTCCTCCTCCATTTCTTTCTGCCTGATCTCCAACTTTGTCCAATTTTCTTCTGCCTTTGTCCTCCTCACGAGGGTCCTTACACTGGAAGGAGGGGCTCTCAGATGAGGCACGGCGCCCCGTAGAGGTGCGAATGTGTTCCAAAATGGCGTCAAAGCCATTGAAGAAATCCTGGAGGTTGCCACCCACAGCCCGAAGTACACGTTCATTTTCTTCAAAGCAGAGACCAAAGAACTCCTCTCCAAAATGCTCTCGCAGCTCACAGAATGGTACTCCTGGGACAGGGGGATGAGAAACACCAGTGTCAGCCATGCTGTATTGCACTCTTCTGAGGATGTAAACATAGTTTTGATATCATAGACAGTGAACTAAACAGCTAAACTATCAACATATTGGAGAAGATACTCTCCTGTTTTTGAAGAAGAAATATGCACTTTAATGTTTTGATGCCTACACGAGTATGATTTTCTGTTACAGCGGCAATTTATATAAAACCCAACATTATCTTTACTCCATGGTATGTTTAGACAGAGATTCAAATCCAGCAGAAAAAATCATTTCAGGGATATCGAGCAGAGAAAATCAGTGTTTTGAGTAATCAAACATCAAAGCTGTGCTAAAATAATTAATACAGATAAAATAAAATAAACATGTCGGGTGCTTGTTGAGTGACAGAAAAAAAATGGGATTAAAAGATTAGAAAAAAGTCAAAGCGACATTTGACGTAAATAAAACCTCAAAACAGGATAAAACTGTAAAAAAATAAATAAATAAATACGGAAGAAAATCCACAGAATTTGTGAAGTATAATTAAAGACATCAAAAGGTCCGACTAAACAGGCTCACAGAAAAACAAAACTGCAAACAGCACAGTCAGTGAATCCAGATTAGAGATTAATATAGTCTTCTGACGTCACAGAAGAAATTTTGGTACTCTTGTGCCTGAGAGTATATGCAGTTGTCCAAGCAAAAGCCAAATCCTCTGTAGGCCTCAGTGTTTCGCTTTATGTGACACAACTGCGTAATCTAAACACTAATTAGTTCTCCTTTACTTGTTTTTTGTTCGCTTTTTTGTACATGTCCTTGGCTGTCCTTGAAAAGCTCTATAAATAAAATGTATTATTATTATTATTAAGATGAACCATGATACAGGTATCAGTTATTTATCAGCTGATTTGTACTCTTCTTCCAACAGTCATGCGCTCAGGATGATGACCAAAAGAATGAAAACCCAGATAAAAGAGGCCTAAATGGGGTTTTGTAAATGTTTCCTTTAAAAAAATGGAGCACCTTAGTGAAACGCCATTAGTGATCTATGGGGAAAGAAAGCTAATGATGGATGATGCCTTAGCTTAGCTCCAGTTTTTCTATTAGGAGCATTATAAAATTACTGCCAGTTTTGCTGGGAAAGGAGAGGCATGGTGAGGACAAAAGTTTGAGTATAGACTATATGGATGTCACAGCTGGAGACCACAGCAGAGTACATTTTTGACCAAGAACTACATAAAACTTGGATTGATTTGATTACAGAATCCATTTCCCTCCAACTGAAGAGTTGAATCAGCCCAAAGTTTAGAAATCATTCCTCAAATATCCTTGAGTTGATGTCTCTGACTTCAGCTTTTATTCTCACTGAAAATCGTTGGCAGCACAGAAACCAAAGAGTATTAATGAGCTGGATGCTTTTATCAGAAAGTGGCATAAAAATAATGCATGAATGCGTTCTTACTCATTACAGAAATTAAAGGATATGGTGGTTAGCACTGTTGTCTAACACCAAGAAGGTCCTGAGTTCGATTCCACCACCTGTGTTGAGTTTGCAGGTTCTCCCCTTGTTTGTGTGGGTTCTCTCTGGGTACTCTAGATTCCCACAGTCCAAAGACATGCAGTTAGTGAGGTTAGGTCAACTGGTAATTCTAAGGGTAGGATGCGAGAAGGATTACTTTTTACTGCTATCGCTAGAGTCAACGTTATGAACATAGTGGTGGTAATGGTTAAAACACTGCTTTGAATTGGACCCATGCAGAGTGTACAGATAGCTTCTAAAGCCAGTGAACACATAATAGCTATATACTGTCACCACGGGGCAGTGTCTGAAATAAGCAGTCTTTAAGCTAAACTGAGTGCAAAAAACATTGAAATGTGTCCACTACGAGCAAAGTCTTTGCTTTTTATGCTACTTTTTTCCACTGTCACTTTCTTTCCTGTTAAGGCTCATTTTTTTTAGCCAATAAGCATTCGACCTATGCACAGCGTCATCCACGTTGAGCGAAGTGTCACTGGGTTGTTTTTTTTTTGGAAGACTGCATGCTAGCACATTTGCATAGGCAAACACCTTCCCAAAACAGACTTAAACGCCATACTGTAACACCGGCTTACCGAGAAAATGCAGAAAATCAGAACATTAACATTTTTTTTAAAAAGACTCAAAGGACGTACGAGACTGTAGATGGAGGCAGGAAGAGATCTTAGATGTAACAGAGGGAAGAAGAAGCTGTACTGAGTGACTCACCAGGACAGTGTGCGTGCGTGTGTGCATGTGCGTGTGTGTGTGTGTGTTTGATGCTGGGCATTGGAGACAGTAGAAGCCCCCATAGTGAGTCATACAGTGTGTGGTGGTGTGTGTTTGCTTATCCTTGTAAATAGTTGTATATTTGCGACTGCATGCACACTACCCATGATACCGCATCTCCTTTAAAAGGCTTAGAAGTGTCTACAATGTATTTTCCAAGTCAAGCCTCTGGGGGATGGTTCTGTGTATGTACATGCACAAATAACTATGTTAATATTGAAGGACATGCAAATGGGGAGGGAAAAAACACAAAGGCAGGATCTGTGGCAAACACACTCCCATCTACCTTTATCTCATATACTTACCCAGTATGGTGGCCATGTATTGGAGGATTTGTAGAACATCCTCCTCTGAACCAGAATTCTCTAGAAATGGACATTTCTCCTCTCGTCTCTCCCCTCCAACTTCCTGACACCTGTAAAGGAAACAAACCAAACACATAAGTTATGGTGGTTCATCATGAATGGTCTCTGCGATGAGAAATTACATTTGCACTATTTTGGAAGGTTTAGGAGTGTGTTTATAGGAATTTTTGACCATTCTTCCAGAAGCACATTTGTGAAGTCACACACTGATATTCGACGAGAAAGTCTGGCTCGCAGTCTCCACTCCATCAAGTTCTTCCACACCATACTCACTCATCCATGTCTTAATGGACCTTGTTTTGTGCACTGGTGTGCAGTCATGTTGGAAAAGGAAGGGGTCATCCCTGAACTGTTCCTACAAAGTTGGGAACATTAAATTGTCTGAAATATTTTGGTATTCTGAAGCAATAAGAATTCTTTTCACTGGAACTAAGGGGCCGAGCCCAACTCCTGAAAAGCAACCCCACAGCATAATCCTTCTCCAACAAACTTTACACTTGGCAGAGACACTAGCTGATTGGCTCGGGACTTTCAATGGTAATTGAGTACATATGTTTTTTAGCATTTTCTGTGACCTGATGCATACCCTGCACACGCTCATATTTGCTGATCACTTAGCAGAGCCAGCAGAAGCAGATGGACAACAGAGAGGCATGGAAAAATGCTCAAGGTCACCTCAACAATGCAAATAAGGAATGTTTTTATTTGTCTCCTTGTCAGACAGTTCAGAGGCCTTTTGCTCGCAAGCTTATTCCCTAATCTTTATGCCACAATTACATGCACTGTGATGCTCCAAAATTAGAGGCAAGATGAGTATTACTTGTGGGAATTCTGGTAATTACTTAATGAAGTACATTAATTGAAGCAAGAAAATACCGAGCGACAACAACTGAGGCCAAAGTGTGAAAAGCAGAGTGGTCAGGAAAGTTAAAGAAAATAACAGTAGAAGTCCAGGTCACAGACCAGGGTCTGTATCAGTATGCAGTGTATGCTTCGTGAACAATGCTTACTTGTGTTACGCCCGACTGAAGCCTCTCTACTGTGTCTTACAGTTTTGACAGGGCAGGATGGCGAGAGAGCCCGAGACAAGAGGTGAAGGAGTGTGTGTCTATATATGTATGTGTGCGTGTGTTTGTCTGTCTCGCTTGTATTAGTGTGGCAGAAACAGAGGAAGAGAAGACAGCGGGGAGAACGGGAGATAGCAGAGACACGAGGAAGGTTCACAGGTTCTGAACAGGTGTGCGTATGAACATGTGTGACAGTGAGCCAAGTGAGAAAAACAAGGAAAAAAGAGAGAGAATGAGCGGCGGGGATACGGAGACAAGACAGCAGAAAGACAGCAAGTGACAGAAGAAATTTCCCGGCACCGGAGGCCAATAAAAGAGAGAAAGAGAGACTGACTGCAAGCCAGCCTTACCTGATCTCCTGTTGTCTGTAGAACTGTAGAGTCCGCTGTAGAGCTTCCTGAACAGTCTGCGTCTGCAAGCAGAAGTGAAAAATATTAGAAAAGCTTTTTTTTTTCTCCTCATTTGAATGATTTTTTTTATGATAAATGGCATGGCCCTTTAACTTCACACTCTAATTTACCAAACTCCAAATTTTAACCAATAAAAATCTGTTCACGATTCATTGCTGATCTTTCAGTTGGTATTACACCTCAGCTTGAAAACATGTGTGTAGATATGGACACATTTTAACATTTTTCATTTCCTTAACCAATTCTCCAGCTGTGCCAGCTGTCAGAGGATGACATGTGCCTCAGTTTATACTTTATTTAGAATCACCAGCATGTCTTTGGTCTGTGGCCGTGTGGTTTTTCAGGGACACACGGACATTGATGCAAAAGTTTGACTAATTGTAAAATCCAATTGCATTTTGTTTTTGAAATCCATTGCTCTGATAGGATCGCACTAATTTTGCTTATTAAAAGGCACAATAAGACGGCAAGATGATAAAATAACCAGGTAGTTTAAAAATAAATAAATAATAATAATATTTCAATAAAATTCTTAGTAGAGAGCCTGTTAAAAAATAGTCCACAGAGTCAGCTAAACAGGGTTGTGATGGTAAACTGTTTCACAGCCTTGGTGCCACAGACTGAAAGGCGCTGTCCCCCTGGTCTTTAGTCGTGTACGAGGAAGAACAAATAACAGATTCCGTGAATGAAGACAGCGAGCAGCAGCGTATTTTGTAAGAAACTGAGATATATGATCTGGAGCCTGACCTGTACATTAGCACAGGAATTTTAAAACAAATAGGAGTGTCATGAGCTTGCTTGCTAGAATGTGTTAACAATCTGGCCGACCTAACAAAGACCTAATGAAATCACATTTCACTGATTCTATCCATCCATCCTCTTATCAGCTTATCCAGCCGGGGTTAGGCAGGGTCGGTATCTATTCCAGCTGACACCAGGGCAAGGGTACATCCTGGACAGCTCAACAATAATTTCAGTCCTTTTTCTTCTTCTTCTTCTACTTCTTCTTCTTTTGTACAATGCATTTTCAAAACATGATCCAGTCTGATATAAAAAATCCAATCAGATTACTTGTGATCAAGTCAGCCTTGATGTGTAACTGTAGCCAAGATAGATTAATATGTAACAGGCTTTGTTTCCACTCAAGACCTTTTGCCATGTCACAGTACAGCACAGGTGTGAATAACTAGCCTCCATCCAAACGGATTTTTTCTACTCCCTTTTATATTGTTATCATCCAAATGTCAAAAAAAAAAAAAACCCAAAACAATATTGTTAAATAAAAATGTCAAAATGACCATAAGACAATGAGATTAACTGTTCGTGTGCATGTGTGTACAGCTGCCGTGTTTTGCGTTACTGACAGCCTAAGCTTGAGAGGGCGGGTCCAATGTGATTATCTGTGGTACAGCTGAAATACAAGGCTGTAGTGACAATACTAGAACACAGTGTGCCAGCTGGAGAGGTCATTCTGAGGCCTCCACCCACTCCGGACAGTGTGTGTGTGTGTGTGTGTGTGTGTGTGTGTGTGTGTGTGTGTGTGTGTGTG